AGTAGTGTTGCTATTGCAGTCACTTGCACTTGAATGAAATTTCAGGTCTGTCCTTGTCTCTGTTTTCTTAAAGAATAAGCACAGGCTAGTGATCTATTTTCAAGCCTAGAAAATTTCCACATCTATGATAAAGTTCTGTATCTGAAATGGCTTCACGAAGTCTGGAAATTTCTCAGCCTGACTGTGGCATTCAAGCAGGGAAAAACAAAAAGTGCTGCAAAGACTAATAGCTAAATTAATACAAAAACTATACTTATTTATGCTGGAGACAGAATTTAGAAATGATATTAAAAAATAAATGCACTGGGAAAAATACAGTTTACTTGGTGAGAGAATGCAGCAATGACCAATTACTCAGCAGTATGCACATAGGCTTGTCACAAGAGAGGGGAGAGGAATAATTTTTCCTTACCCCGAGAATAAGGAGAAAGATTCATAAAGGGAATATTTACCTAGTTTACAGTTCTGGCATCCATCTGAACATGGTATGCAGTCTTCAGAATCAGGATCTTCCACTTCACCTGTGTTTTGCAAATCACCAATTCTTGGTTAATTCTAGATAATGGAAGGCCAACATTTAGAAGCATTTATCAAGGTTCCTGGAAATAAACTTTATACAAATTCAAAAAGGAGAAAGATTCACAGCAATTTCTTTTCTGTTTTAATTCTTGTGTATCCCTACTCAATCTGAGGAAAACACTCCTATATTTCATCAACATGATATTAGAAAAAAATCAGAGATGGAGTTTAAGGACCTCAGGATCAGGTATGCTTGTATATTTCAAAACAGGAACCAGTACTCTTAAAAAGATTTCTGTAACATATTAAATAGAATATTCGTTAACTTCTACTGAGGAATGCTTACCTTCTCTACAACTGTGCTTCTGACATATGTTTTGGGTAAGGTAGTAGCCTCTAGAACATTTTTTGCAGTGGCTGGAGTTAAGGCACACCTCACAGTGGCCAGAGCAAGCCATGCAGGTATGCTCTGAATGGTAGTGACCTGGAGGACAGCTCTCTCTGCACTCCCCATGATACAGGAAACGTTCGATCCCTCTTCTATCTGTGTGGCAAAGAAATAGGAAAAAAAGACGTCAGCAACAGGGGACATTTGGGGATAAGAAGAAGCTTTGTGAGGCACCAGTACTGCAGCTGATGAAAAGTAATATTGTTTACTGACTGCTAGATTTGTACAGTTTTACACAGATGATCTAAAATGTATAAAATTTTCAGGACCTCAAACTTTCCATATTCCTGGAGATTTTTGACAAAGATGTCATGTTAGTGAATAATTACTCTTTACGTCCATAAATCTAATAAAATATGGATTGAGATATTTTCATTACTGAAGTTCCTTGCAGTGAACATACAAGTATGGGTACTCCATTGTACATGTGGATCTAGGAATTCCCATTAAGAAAGCAAAGCTTCCCACTTGGCCTTTGGAAACATCATTCTATGTCTGTAGTAGATTAAACTGTAATCCTCATCCTATTCACAGCTAGACTCTGGAATCATCTAGATTCAATCAGAAGAGCAAGCATGCATCTATTTGCTATCAAAGCAACAGCATTCTCTAGTGCATGGGGAACTGGGAGGTCCCCTGCCTAAAATCCTTCTGGACGAAATCTGTGAAAACACTTAACACGACCATGTGCCATGTGCTGCAATATGAGGAGTTTCCTAATGGGTTACAGTATGAATTATACCCATTATTGTGGTAAGAGTATTTGATTGCTTTAACCATAGAGCAAGAATTTGCTTACTATAATTTATTTTTGAAACTGCAGAGAAAGCAGAGAAAATAGGGAATAATTGCTGCACTGTAGCAGAAGTATTCAGACTTTGTTTCTTCTACATTTCATGTACAGATTTAAAAATAATCTTTTCCAGCCTCCTCAGGGTGTGACTTTTATCAGTGTCTTAATTTCTTGATACACAGAAATACAGAAATGTATACTCCTGTTCACCACAGGGAGACACTTGGGGAACAATTATATAAACCTCTCCCTCACACTGGACCTGAAGTAGCATTTGAAAACTTTGTCTAATCAGTCACATTTCCCAAAGCAAGAAAGTCAATCTCATCATCAGTATGATAAATTAAAGCCAGCCATTCTAGTGTTTTCTTGTGATCTAGACCCTTATTTACTAAATAAGCCTGGGCCATTACTGTCTAGGACTGAAATGGAAGTAGCAGCTGAGAGGAAAAAGGCTGTGAATCTACTGCAAGTTCTCAGAAAAAGCTCACCAAAAAGGCCTCTTTATTAAGTGAATTGAAAGTTAAATCTTAAATACTAATTTCCAAGGGAAGTCCAGGCTAGTTACACACACTTGTATGTAATAGCCTCAAGTTCTTCACCCATCAGGTGTAACAGAGGTGTGAAAGAATAATTTTTAAAATGGAACTTCAAAAGGAGAGGCTTTTTTTTTGAACCACAAATTTAACTATATTACCCTCTGTCTCAGGGTCTATCTGTGTTAGTGGTAAACTTCTCTTTGCAGGCCCCATTTGTCCAGCTGTAGGGACACAGCAGTCTGCAGTGAAACCCACCATGTTTGTTTCCTAGCCTTCCCCAGACAGGTGTTTTGGTTACATTTCAGTGTAACACACACTGTGTAAAGGCTGGGGGAGACATGTATGGAGCTTTCTTTTCCAGAGGCAGGCTATGTAGGGTGTCCTGGTTCAGCTAGGATGGGGTTAAGTTTCTCCAGCAGAGAGGAAGAAGGGATCTCCAGCTGGGTTATTCATACCACGCTGACATCAGGTCTGGGCGTGGAAGCGCAGGAAGCTTTTCCTTTGTGGCTTTGGTGATGGGGGGGCACACGGACGGCTGTCCGTAACCATTGCGGCATTTCTCTGTATATCTTTTGTCTTGTTTACTGTTATTACTGTTTATTGTTATTATTGCTATTGTTGTTGTTGTTCAGATTGTTTATTACACTGTTGTATTAATTTTTTCCTTATTTTAACCCAGTTTTTGTGCCCTACTCGGCCCGAGGGTGGGGGAGGGACAACAGCAACGTGGTCTCTGGTCCCGGCAGGGCTTAAACTATCACAGTAGGTTTTCTGTCCTTTTTTCCTGTGCTACAATTCCTGTTTCTGTTAACATAGCTCCTATTCAAAATATACCATGGCAAATGCATAAAGATTCAAGGACAATGCAGAGTTGTGTTTTCTTGCAATTTTAAAAAATAAATTAAATAATAATAAATTTCAACTCCCTTCAGGGTTAAAGCAAGACTATGATGCAGGTCAGTAGCAAAAGCACTGCTTGTTTATTGGCTTTAACAACTGGTCCTGAGAGAAGAGAGAATTGGGAAATTTGTGGCCAAGGAAGGGGAAAAAGCTGCAAGAAGAAATCTTTCTTACCTGTTCCACAAGTGGAGCATTTGTTAGGTTCACTTCCACTGCACTCCAGGCAGGTATGATGGCACAAATGACACTGTTCTTTGAATTCAAACTTTCCTCTGGGGCATTGCATAACACAGTAACCATCGTCAAAGACTCTTTTGAGGCAGAGAGAGACATAATTACAAATTTGGCAACTACTGTTCTTTAAATTTAAAGGAAAATAACAAGAAACCCAAGATATTATTTCTTCACTCTATTTACAAGAGTCTCTGCACTGCTCTTATTAAGACTATTTACTAAGTGGAAAATCAACCACATTTTGAACCTGGATCTTAGACTTCAGAGATTATTTTTTTCTCATTATTTTCTGAGAAAAATCATGTTTTAGTCCTGTACCTAGATATACATAGACATGTGGTCACTTATGTCTGTTAGAAGGAGAATAAGTCTTGGTCTTTCTCTGTGAAGGAATGATATATCTGTAGAAGTTTCCCATTAGTTTTATTTTATAGACTTCCTGTGAACAGTACTATGTCTTCAGTAAAATGACTTTGTACAGAAAGTCAAACATCTATCTGAAAATTTGCTCTTAAGAGCTGTATTTTTAGACTTGCATATATGCAGACACTGAGGAGTTTTGCTGCTGAATATTCTCCTTTTTCTGGGTAATGAAACATTTTCTACAGAATCCTTCCATGTGATGAAAATTTGTGGTCCAATTTTCATCACTACTTAATGTCTACTGGTTTTAATCTGTTTAGGGGAAAAGTAGAAAAAGATCAATACAGATAAGACTATTAAAAGAATTTAAAACAAATTGGTTAGAATTTGACAGTGTTTTCAATATTGAGAAAATAGGAGAAAGGTACTGTAATCTTCCACACTTAATGCTTTGACCAGTCTGGTATCTGAGGACTTGGGACTCGATTTCTAGAGAAACTGAGCACCATTCAGGATAGTAGTACAGATTCTGAGACTGTCAGCTCATCTGTACACCTAGGAACAGTAGGCTTTCCATGACATTAAGATAGTGCATGCTTCCTTGGAGCCAGCCAATGGCATGAAAGAATATCTGCAACATGCCTTCATAAATTTCAGTTCCCATGGCCATTGTCAGATTTATTCTGAAAGAAGAGGAGAAAAATATCTGCAAAGTTTAAAACCAATTTTGTCAAATAGTTTTTGAAACTATTTAACATTTACCATGATTGGAAAAATCAAGGTTTATGAAGTGTGAAGACGGGATAATAGGCTATCATGCAAACAGCCTTCCTGAAAGTAAACATAACAAAGAAAACTTAGGAATTAATTAAAAAGACTTGTGAGGCTGAAGGCAGGCTGCTCGAGGGAATCGGGGAGAAACTTGTATGGGTGTACGAAGTATTCAGCAAAGACGTATCTCTGCCCTGGAGTCTTACAGCAAGGTAGTCCTGTGCAGACTGTAGCTCATATAGCTATACCTGCATGTTGAAGAACCATTATTCAGCTCTTCATGGGAACTGCAGCCCCCTGCAGTTGGTTTCTGTGCGAATGGGACAATGTGACAGAAGTACTGGATATAGTTGGACTATGGTTATATGATATGCAAATATTACTGTGTTCTACTACATGTGCTGTCTGTAAGGATAGCCACCCTTACATGCAGCTCACACAGTCATAAAGTACATTTTTTCTTGCTTTTTGTTATGCTGCTCCTAATGTAAGGCACCAGCATGTCAGATCTTGTCACTAACCCTTGTAGCTCAAACAATAAACAGATGGATGAAGAATTATGTGAAATTAGTTTGACTGGACAAAAAAAACTACAATTCCAAAATTTTTTAAAACCAGGTAACGTTATTTAAAGAGTGAAACAAGAAGATGATCTGACAGTGATTTTATTATGAAATAAGGTGAAATCTACTGCAGAATTTTCACAAAGAACAGGGATTGTTCGGTGTTTTAATTTTCACATTATTTTCAGGAAACACCCCCACCCAAATAATTTCGTTGTATTCAAAGAGAAAAGGTGTTCCCCTATAGGAAAGCAGCACTGCTGAATTTTAGTCTGTATTATCTAACGGCCACTCATTACTATCTTCAATAGACATCATCTGAAGCTCTCAAGAGTGACAGGATTTAGGATTCTGTTTCAATTACAGAGATCTATTTCAAGTACATAATAAATAATGTCCCTTGGAAGGATTTACTTTTTTTGCCTCTAGGTGACATTTTTCTTTATTATTATTTCTTTTACTACTGACTGTCTTATTTCTAATAGCTTTCATAATGGGCAGAAGAAGCACAGAAAGCTTTTGGAAACTTTAGATATCAAAACTGAAATCTCAGAGGATTTGTTAGGAGGGAGACAGCAGCACCCTTCCAAAAGGTCACAGAGGCCTCATTACTGCAAAACACCTAGGAGTTTTTGCCTAATGGTGTTGTTCCGTATCTTCTTTGCTTTGCAGATATCTCTGTGTAAAGCTCAAAAAATAGATTGCAAGGAAACACAGACAATCTAATTTAAATGCAATTATGAATAGGAGAAATCTAACCTGAAGTCCACAATTCTGCCCAGGCTTCCTGTGCTGATGTAATTTCTGATGTAACACACCTTAATTTAATACTGTTTCCTCAGTTATGAATTTGGACTCCACTGGTCCTGGTGATTGACATAGTCATATCATAGATATTAGCAGGGTAAGTTGCAGGATTGCTTGGGACTTATTTTGCTATGCCTCACAGGGTTTGATTCTGATTTCATACCAGTGTAAATACTAGCTGGCTACAATGCAATCTAGTGCAACAGAAATTGAGATATCAGTGTGAGAATAAAGCTATTAGTAGGACATGGGTTTAAAACCAGTAGACTCCTGGATTAGGTGCAAGATGGCCTAAACATAAACCCCTGATCTGCAGTCTCTGGTGGAAAAGCTTCTTTCTGTTTTTGTTCACTCCTCATGGCAGGTTAGAAAAATCCGCCTAAGTTAGGGGATGATATTTAGGTGCTATGAGCATCTTTGAAATTAGCTGACTGCTAGCTTCAGTGTCCATATTCATGCCTTGTGTCAAGCTTCATAGCTGTGTACAACTACAGATGTCCTAGGCTCTTCTTATTAAATTTATCATTGTTGTGATTCTAGCAATTGAGTTTGAAAGGATGACAATGAAAGAAAGACTATTACACATATTAAAAGAATTTTTTTTTGTATCTGTGGAAGCCATCTGGCTAAACATTAACTGCCTGTGTAGTCAACAGTCTTGTTCACATAACACTTGTTTTCTCACTTGCCCTGGTTTCGTTTGCCCTAATCATTGCTCACTTCTTTTGTTGACACTACAAGCTAGTGCTAAAGACCCTACAGCTACTTCTCCAGATGACAATGCAGGGTTTTTGTGCTGTACAATTACCTTGTGAGTGGGCAGCTGATGCAATTGTCTGGCTCAGGTCCAATGCACTTCTGACAGGATGCTTCACACAACCGACATTCTTGGGAATCATCAAGATATTCCCCTGGTAGAAAAGAATTTGTTTATTTCAGATCAACACCTCACGTTACAAAAAGACATGCACCAAGCCAGGTTGGAAAGTATGAGTAAAAGGAATTAGATCTGTTTTGAATTACTGAAGTGAGCACATTTCCTTGTGGTATCAGGAAAAAAGTACTGGCTCCCTTGGTAAACCAGGATACTCAGAATTAGTAGTTCCTTGTCCTTATTTATTTATTTACTTATTTTTATTTTCCATCTGAATCTAACAGTGATTATTCTTGTTAGGGTTAAGGCTATTTCTTTTGCATCAGTGTAAGTAATAGGGCTCATCGAGATTCACCATGTAAAGTTACATCAAAACCAGTGCTATCTAGTAGTATTCTTACCTAATGTCCTTTGGTGCCGCTGCAACAGGCTCCTGATTTCAAGCTGCAGTGTAAAGAGTGTGGTGTCATGGGTGTGGGGTATGTTACATGAGAAGAAGTAAGCTTCTATTAGTAAGAGACATGTTTGTGCTTCCCAAACCTCTACCTTTTTGTCCTCCTCCCAAGCCACTGCTTGAACACTCCACACCTAAAAGACCTAGGCTCTCATTCAGGTGCAATAAAAATTTTGTGCCCAAGCAGCCATTTGGATTTGAAAGAAATAATTTTGTGTTATATGAATTGTTGCCTTAAAACTGAGATAAAGATATAAAAACTTTCAGATCATGAATACACTAGTACTACTGTGGCACTCAAGCACAAAGTTTGCCTCTTTATTTATTGATCTGAATATTATTTATCTGAATATTAATTAAAATATTGGTACAAACTGATAGGCTGTACACTTCATAACTCTCAGAGCAGATATTAATTTGGTAAGTGTCACGAATACTGTATCTGTGTGCAGCACTGTGTGGGGACTGTAAATTGGTTTATCAAGCAGTTTTATAAAGCTCAAGTTTGGGTCTTTTATGTCAGTTAGTTATAGGAAAGTTTATTCCAACTGAATCTATATATTGAGAGAATTGGCTGTTCCTTCATTCTTAAGTAATGGAAGAGGTTGGGCAGTGAGTCCTATATAATACATAAAACCTGCAGTTTCTATGGATACTTCAATATGGAGAAACTCTTTCCACTTGCATTGCTACTGGGAAATCCAGATTTGGCAAATGCAATGAACTTTAGGAGTCAAAATAAAAATGTGGAATGACTTGGTTTTGGCTCTCAGTTGCAACGAGTTCCTTACATTGTAGAGCAAATGTACTGTACAAACTATTGCTGTAAGTGTAAAAAGATGTAGGAAAGAAACTTTTTTCTAAAATACAGCAAATTACATTCTCTGTCCCTTGTGTTTTCAACTCCATATTAATCTGTATTAACAAATTTTATAGTAGCTGAAATCTCTGGTATGAGATCTTAGCTGGGGTACTTCTTATCATGCTTAAGGAGATGGGAACAGTAAAGTTATAAAGTCATACCAACTTGAATGTCCAGTCCATTGTGGGCAAAAAGGGAAGTACCCACCATGTCGGTAAAGACACAGTTTTCGTTTGATAAAGGTTTGTGTATCTTCCGAAGAAAGGAAAAAGACAAGCCAAAAGCCAGCGACAGAGGCACATAAAACATGAAAACATTACTCCTCAGAGTCTGGTCTTGGGTCACGGTTACCTGGGAAGATGTTCAGAACTGTGAGCAAAGGAATGGTCTCTTGATGAGATCAGGGAAAAAGAAATCTGTGTATACATACACATTCACACATTTTTATCGCTCTCATTATCCAAAGAGCATTTTGCGTGTGTATATATATATATATATATATGCACATTTATGTAATTATACACATGCCCATATAGGCCAAAACTTGAAATATGACATAAAACTTGACATAATTCCATGGAAGTGGTGTAGATTTCTGAACTGCAACACTGTATTGTTGTATGATAGATTAATACAATTAATCCTTTATGAAGGACTAATTATTAAAATGTTATAAATTGTACAGCTGTTTGACATAGAATTCAGCAGGATTCTGAATTTATGCAGATATTACTGAAATACAATGTATTGATTAATAACTGCCACAGTCTGGAGTATTTATGATTCTCACTTTCTAGAAAAAATGGCTGTGGCCTGCTGTCCAGTAGATCATCAGGACATTGACAGATTTGCTTAATGTAGGACTCTTAAGTCTTTCTGATACATATTCAAAGGGTATAACATGGAATCCCATGATCCCAAATGTTTTATGAGATTTTAAAATATGATTTGATACACATATATATATATACACACACATATATATTTGGACGATACACAACCATGAAAAAATGCAGTATCTGAAAAGTCTTCCTATTGCAGGTTTGGTGGCTCAGTGCTTTATACTACCAGCTTTACATCACTGGGAAATCTGTCAGGGCATTATTAAATTGCTTCTCTGATGTTGTTTTTGACATGTGTTAGAAAAACTTCTTGTTTCTCCAGTCCTTCACTTTATTTGCCTGCACTGCCTGTGTGTTTATCCACTGGACCTGAGCTGCTAATTCATACACCTCAGCTATCCCACTCAAATCCTTCCCACATGGTAGAAGTGCTTAGTTTTAAAAGGATTTTTTTTTTTTATTTCTTTCTTATGCCTTTCATTGGAAATGCTGTAATTCATTTCAGCTGTGCTGGAATGGTGCCAGGAAGACCAGTTTTCTGCTTATTTTATCCTCCGACTTGATGCACTTTAAAGCATACTATTATGAGAATGTGCACTAGAAAATAATTACATATTAGATCCTCTGAATTGCAAGTCAAATCTAGAACTCTAGATCTGCCACTAGATGTTAACAAAATATTTTTTTAGTGGATATTCAGAGTTAACACTGAAATACAACTTTAAAGGAGACTTTTAACTTTTAAAATATTCCATAAAGGAACTGTAACTGTTTTCTCGTGGGCAATATATTTCTTTACAAATCTTTCTAGATACATACTGGTTACTAAAGCTTTTTTTTTTTTTTCCCGTTCTTCTGTATCAAAATTCTTTATCTGTCCAATATACATAATGGGGGAATACTCTCAGCAGTGCGTCTCAGCTATGCCTTCAATCAGGCAATGCTTGTCAGTTACTTTGGATCATCCCATATTTAACTTTCATTTATTCCTCAATTCTGTTACCTTGTCACCTTGTTTAAAAAAAAAAAAAAAAAAGTTTCACCTTTTTTAAAAAAAGGAACAGAAAGTGTTATAGGAATAAGCCTATGTTAACAGACATAATGATTCATAATGGGAAGATTTTTTGTGTCCCTAGTTAGAAATAATTTTTTGTGTCCCTAGTTAGAAATGTTTAATTCCACATCTGGGCCACATCAGGTATGTCTTTAACTGCATACAAGAGCCCTATACTTTATGCTGAGTTCCTATCAGTTAATATGATGCATTTTAAAATGTGGTAAGAACCATTATCTCCTACTAAGGAGGCAGAAAAACTGAATTGCAGTAAGTTCATCACATTAGGGTGTAATAGCAAACTAGAACCTGTTTCTCCTGAGTCCCAGACTAGAGCACTACCATCGTCGCCAGATCTAGGTTGTTGCTATGTCTTTGTATAAGCAGTATTAAGTGTACAGCTCCTATCCTGTCACTATTTCTCTCCTGCTTTCCAAAAGCCGTGCCATTTATTGACAACACATGGTGTTTCAGAAGACCAGTTAGATGAGGGTGTGAATATCCTTGCAAGTTATGCCTGGAGACATACAGTTTTATGTGCTGGCAGTCATAAAGGAATCTTTCTCCTGCAGCCCTCCCATGAGACTTGGTCACTGCAAGTCACATGTTATTTCCCCACTTTTCTGAATCAAAACATCAGTTTATCTAATTTAAAAATGTTCATTGGTTATATTCTATAGCATGGCCCAGTGGCTTTTCTTTATAATCAATGAAAAAAGGACCTTATTTCTTCCCTTTTGCTTGTTTAGTTTCATAGGAAACTGAATATAGATTTTGTACTTGGGATTTTCTATGTAATCTTATGGATTAACAAAGGTTTCACAGAGCAGATAAACATTGATCAGAATTATTTTTCATCAACCAGTAGAGAGAACTGAGAGCCTTCCGTTTTAGGGAGCTCTCTGATATTTCCCTGTCTGGCCTTGATACATTTTATTTTGGCTGGATTGTGGGATCAGCACCTTGAGTTTTGCTGAAGAAGTATTTATCTATAAAGCTTAAGTCCATAAGGAACTTGGGGTAACCTGCGTATAACAAGTTGTTAAAATTCACCCTGAGGATTCCTCTTGAAGTTACCCCTCTGTTTAGTCCAAAGCCTTAATGTTCGATAGATTACAGTTCCCTGAAAGAAATCTTGTCTTCATCTTGAAAATGTTAGAACATGGATGGAGATTACAGCATTTCCTTTCCCCAAAAATCTTGGGCAGTCATACAAAATTTGAACCTGGTTTCCAATTATTTGTCTAGCTTCAGCTTTCAGTCTCCTGCTAGTTATTCTTCTCCACTCAGTCATTCTACACAACTACTAAATTTCTGTCTCCTTGTTCAGAAGTGCAGAAGCGACAAAGAAGTTATCCTTCATGGGCAGAGCTTTGGGGTGCTATGAATTGAGGTGATGCAAAGGATTCAGGATTGGCAGTCATCTTTTCAGAAGTGCTCTAGGCTGTGATGAACCAGAAGGCTGAAATTAGGATGTTGGTTCCTAGGTTAGTGAAACTCTCCCTTGTGCCAAGGGACAAAGCAGAACCTTGAAAACGACTGAATATCTTTTCCCTGAATAGTGCTGTGTGTAGCTGAGTGTGATATAATGATTTTAGGACGAAAAGCCCTTTTGTTGCAGGATTAGGTGAGATCACACAGAGCCTCAGGTTAGCTTTAATTATGACAGGCTGGTAAGAGTCAACTGCCTTTATTAACTACACTATCTTACACAGCCCTCTATTCTTTCCCTTTCAGAATAAAAATATTTACATTAGCCAAAGCTGCCTTTATTGCTGACACAAAAGGATTTTTTTTCCTCTTTATTCTGTGTGTTTCTTCCCTC